ACGCCACTGGCGGAGAGAATTATGATTCTCTTGCCACATACCCCCGTAACTTGAGTGTTCGTCAGCAGCATTCAGAGCTCGCAACCTCCCCTCGGTGGTTCGATGGTTTTATCATTATCACCATTACGCTCATATCAGTCACGTCTTCTGGCAGTTCCTTTGAATCTCGGTGGTGCTTCATTCGTCTGAACATTCTACTCAGTTGTGGTGGTTTGCAACTCAATTCTAGCGTGAATCGCAGAACTTCAAGGTGAGCTATGCCGATGACGTTGGTATCTGTGGCTTTCGAACTATCTGGCGATCATTTCACCACTATTACAGTACTCCGCTTTTAGATGGATTTTCAATTGAAGGCGGTACCGGAAGAAATCATCCTGAAGAAGGTTACTGGAAGGAGAGAGCCGGTAAGCGGTGAACCGTCCGGTATTCCGCGAAATCGAAAACGCCGGCATTTCCAGGTCAATCGTGATAATCTCCTGAATGTGGACAACAAGAACTGGCAGTCAATTGTTTGTCGACGATGTGACTCGCTTATACTGTTCGAGGACAAAGTAGACCTTGTGGAAGGTACGGAACGCGCCGAGTAGTCTACACGGATATGCGATCAGGCCGCGTTCATACCTTGCGACTGCAGAATCGGGGCATAGAACTATTGGCAAATGGTGGAATGGAGAGAACAGGAGAAAGCGCGGAGAGGATCGCATACGTGTCCGATCTGGAGAATCAGAGCAAATTAGAGGATGTGCGGAAAAGATCAGATACCTATCGATTGACTTCTCCCAGTTGGAGAGTCGGCGAATAGGAGAATTAGATAATAGAAGACCAATCGATACGGATCTAAACTACTTGGCGCAGGCGCGATTTGCTCTGGGAGGGACCACTTAACAGCAGGACTGAGCCGCGCGAGCCTGTCCTTTTGTATGCTGTCACTGAGACAGCCTGACATCTTCCAGCATGGCATGTATAAAGTCAAAACAAGTCAGAATCCCCTCCAGGCAGCATGACGTGGCTTTGCCGTGTCAGAACATGAACGATGCTAGACATTGATGGAGAGCGGTCCCTCCCAAGGCATTCCAGTTTCGCAGAGTGTGGACGCAAGCTGCTGGCTAAAGCTACTTCTGCGCCACGAGAATGTCCGCAAAGACTTCACTATTGCGATTTTAGGCGGCTATACAGCCAAGCTACCAATAATGACCCCTGGGGCTAAAAATACGACCGACACCGAAGATATTTCATGGTGGTGGCATTCGACTGATGATTTCGATTTCGACACGATTGGCTACGCAATGCCTATGGTGGATAACAAAAAGGTCTGTGCTTCAGCTCATCCTGCAGATAGTTATGAAACTTGGAGAAAGTGTTTATAGTTCGCGATAGTAGAACCCCACAGCACTTTTCAAAGTTATCATTCCAGATCCTCGTCTGTGGTGACTGCGAATTCGGTCCCATTGGACTGCGAAATCCAGATGAAAAAGAATTTTGGCTGGCGGTTGAAAGAGTCGCTTATGCTGACAAGCCGGCACCCAAAGGACACAAGATCGTTCCGAGGAAACCGAAAAAGGCACCAACGTAAACGCTATAGGCGATGAAAACATTGATGGCACGAAATGCAAAAATGAACATTAAAGATCAATGATCATATTGAACCAGAAAACCACATACACCCCATACTGGAGATAGAGTCCTACGTTGCTTATGTGTAACAGGGCGGAAAATAGCCACAGTTCCATCCATAAGGCTGAAAATTCATAATACACGGATCCCAGCCACACATCCTATACTTATTGATGAACAGCGTCAGGCGGTGTTACAAGAAGTCAGTCCTAATGACCTGCGACGTGACTGACGGGCTAGGCAGCGTTCAGACTTCGCGTCGACGCGCAACGACGCGCTGCAACGCACTGCAAATGCAATGGCGCTCCAATCCTATACACGCAAATGCAGCCGCAGACGGGAATCGTCGGCGCCGCTTGTGTATTGGGAGTGTGGAGAACCGGAGGGTACCATTTGGCTAATCATGCTGTGTGCTACTGGCCGCTATGGTCACGCCGGCGACACAAATCGACTCCTGTCTACGGCTCCTTTGCGTCCATAGGATTGGAGCGCTGTTGTGACTATAGCGCGTTGCAACGCGTCTTCGCGCGTCGACGCTCATTTCAGCGCGTCACAACGTGTCACCGCAAAGTCTGATTGCTGCTTTACCAGATGTGTTTTACGCACACATAATTGATATCGTTTTTACGCTGTCACTGTGACTGGAATTCCGAAAGTAGTCAAAGAACGACTGCAGCACTTTTTGCGAATTGAAGAAGGGGTTGTGGATCCTCTGAACTGAGTGAGAAGTTTTGATATATAGGCCCTCAAGCGTGTGTGCGATAATGTGCGGAACGCATTTATCGATAAACGCGGACCGAATGTTGGCGCATTTATGTCATGGCATTGTCAGTATACTACTTACATTAGAGTGTTCCTCGGTGCTGTTCGGCTTGGGAGGGGCATTTCGTACTTTGGCTGGTTTTTTTTGCTAGGTTTTGTCAAGCAAAGGATAAACTTGAGCGAGACCTGTAAATCCCCGTGGAGCTATGAAATGGTATAAATGAGTTATGGTGTTAACAAGAATTAACAGGTCTTCACGAGAAGTCCTGATCGAGCCTCGATAAACAGCATTTTGTGCAAGCCGAACCGCGTTTATTCCGTTCAAAGCGCCTATTCCGCTCAAAATGGAATTGGACGACTTGGCTTCTATCACTTCTTCGTAAGACTCGAGAACATTTCCTAGTCTGGGCAATTCTACGCCAGTGTAAGCATGTAAGCAAGCTCCGCAGCCAGAGGTACCAGGGGTGCTGGCTGACTACTAACTATTGATGCAGCCTTTTGTGCGCGATGAACGAAGCTGCGTTATTTATTCCCAACAAAATCGTACATAAGAGGAATTCGCCGTTTGATGCGCCCATGACTCATTCCATTCGTCGTTCTTCATGCCGTAACGGTTAAATTGAAGCCCTATTAAGCAATTTCCTTCCGGTTTGCTTCGACCACCGCTGAAGCTTCGATG